TCGAAAACTGTTATATACATTGCATATAGTAACTTCGATATATCTGCCCATTAATGGTCCAAAGATATGTTTATCTAGAAGTGTCTTTATGCATGTTTAACGGCTCCTTAGATTCTATGGGGGTGAAGAAAAGATGGTGGATGGAGAATAAAAGTGGAAATGGTTAGAATTTTATGCAACTTTTGACCTGATAATCTTCCCAGGAATCCATCTAATTCTAACCTGTTATTGCGTCTAGATTAATCTGTCAATGGAATTATCCCAGCATCTTTTGTCTCACAGGAACCGGACTCTAAGCGAGTCATAATCCATCACTATTTATTATTATTACATTTTATGACTTGAATTTTATTTTGTCCGACCGTGTGTTAGCGACAGGAACCGTTTAGCAAAGAAATAAATAGGAGGAAAAAAAATGGAATCCCTCCTAGTTCCAAGGCTTCGTGCACTAATTATTCCAGACTGACCCACGTTGCACACATGGTTTTGGTGGGTGAATCTTCCAACGAAGATTTTCTGCATACACAAGAACTTGAACTCGAGAGCTACTTAAGCGATATCAATATGCTTACCACTTGAACCAACCCTCTTAAGCGATATCAAGATTCTTACACTTGAACCAACCCTGTTAGTATTACAAGACCTATTTAATAACTAAATCTGATTTAGCATCAATAGGAAACAAATCAAACCAAAACGAAATACTCATAGTTATGTCTCAATTGAATAACTAAAGCCGACTTGGCTTCAATGCCATTGTTAATGCTTTCAAACTCTGTTGCTGATACTGCCAAAGCTCCTGTTATCAGTCTCTCGGTTAGTTTCGAGTTCCCAAAGTAATGCACGTATCTTTAAATGTAAGACAAAGCTTCACAATAATATCCCATGTTCAAGGCCGAATTTGCTGTTTCAAGTCCACAATCGACAATTTCTTGAATGAGGATAGACGATGTGTTGATTCCAAGGTTTGTGAACACCGGAACAAGCACTTGGTGAAGTCGGTCGCGGTTTGGCAAAAGATTGAGGCATAAACAAATTGTTTCTTGATTGTAGAGGTGATGAAGTCACCTGTTGTAGGATGAACACGAATATGTTATAGATCAACAATTAGTTGGATTCGGATGAATTCAGGAGACATGTGGTGGATTTGCTGTTTAATCCCCGATTGATGAACACGGTGAGACATGACTTTACATTCATAAGAAATTGAAGCCATTAAAGAAAACTAGAAGAAGAAGCTTTCAACTATCAAAATCGGATGAATAAACTTGTAACACCGGCAGGGTATTTAAAGGGAGTTAATGACGGTATGAGAATCCTATATCTTGTACGAATAGGAAATCTTGTATCTTGTAGAATAAGAAATCCTACCTATTGGAAGAGAGTACATATTTGTATTGGTAACAAACCCTATCACCTGTGAACTAAACCATGAATGATCTCATCATGTTGTTTTTCATTCAAGATCCAGCAAACCATTGTGAAGATGAGCCACGAGAGAACCAAGGATGTTTCTTCACATTCACGTAATGCAAGCCAAATAGATAAGAAACCCAGATGCATGGCATGTAAAACAAACATGATAATATGTGTAAAGATGCAAGAAGACTATACATCCACCAACCTTGCCTTCATAGTTAAAGCTTTGAGTGTTCATCTTTATAATTATGAGTGTGAGGTGCCACCCAGAGTTCCCCCAAACACTTCAGTAGGAACAGCAGAGCCCATAGCCCCAGTGAAGTGATCAAGGGAACTCCAGAGGACAGCCGACTCTCCATTTCTTGCTTGTTGTTTGATTGATGCTTAGGCAATAGAAAGGTGGCCTACCTATTTGTAGGTGAAGGCTCTATACGTGCATGGGCCAAGTGACCGTATCCCTTCAGCCGAAGTTAAGACTTGAGACTAAAGTTATTGAAACTGAACATAGCCGGGATTACGGCGTTTGGGGGATTAGAGATGATGAGATAGAGAATATTCTTGATCAGAGTGGAAAGAGTTATCCCCACACCTTTTCCGTTCTATATATTATCATAGAGAATATTCTATGGGGGAGTGAAGAAAATGTTGGTGGGAGAATTAAAAGTAAATGGTCAGAATTTTATGCAGATTGTGGCTTCAAAATCTTTCCCAAGGGATTCACCTAGCCTGCTACTGCGATTACATTATTTTTCCCATGGCAACTATATTTTGCTTCACATGAAATAAACCAAACAACCAGCAGATGTGTGTGTACTAAGATGAAAAAGAAGTTTTGAATCCAGATGAAGTAGCATGAAAGGCAAAGCCATGATTCTTTTGCATTTGAATCAATCCTGCAAATAGGGTATGACCAATCCTGCAGACTTTTGTAATCAACAAGAGTTGCTATTTTGAAGAGATTGATCAATATTGCCCATCCCCTCGATTAAAGACAAGTAAGTGGTGTCATCAGGGGTAATTCCTTTACTAATCATCTCCCTTAGGAGATCTTCAGCAATATCCCCTTCCTGGTTTTTGCAAAAACCCTGTATAAGGGCGTTATAAGTAAGAAGGGTGGGATTGAAACCTGTACTCATCATCTCATCACGAACCCTCAATGCATCCTTCATATCACCTCTCCTGCTATACCCACTAATCAGAGTGTTGTAACTAACATGATCCGGTTTGATTCCCCTTCGTTTCATCTCATCGAGAAGCTCTCGAGCTTCTTCAACTCTCCCCTCCCTACAATGACCTTGCATCAAAGTATTGTAAGTCACGTCGTCCGGAGGAACATTCAATTTATCCATTTCCTTAAACAATGAAAACGCACGCTCCATATTGCCATTGGAACAGTGACCATCAATCAATGCATTAAACATTATCACATCTATCGCGACTCCCTTCTTCAATATCTTTTCAAACAGGTTATCGGCTTCCGTCATTCTATTCCGTTTACTCAAAACATAGATAAGTGAAGTATAAGTCATCCGTGTAGGTTGAATCCCCTTGGCTAACATCTCATCATGAAAACCGAAAGCTTTCTTCAGATTCCCGCACCTGGAGTATCCATTAATCAAGATGCTATACGTAATCTGATCAGGGACCAACCCCTTTTCTCCCATTTCTCTAACCAGATCATCGGCCTCGCCCATTCTACATTCCATAAATAGAGCATGAATTAACATGTTGTAAGTTGTGACAGTTGGCAATATACCCTGCGCTACCATTTCATCCCGATAACCAAATGCCTTTTCCAGATCCCCTCCATTGCAATAACCATCAATTAAGATGTTATAAGTCACAGCACTAGGAATCAACCCCATTTCTTTCATCTTCCCAAACGTATCAGAAGCCTCCTTAAGTCTTTTATCCCTACACATCCCACTAATGAGTGAACCATACGTGTAAGAATCTGGTTGAATACCTTTACTTCTCATTGCATTCAAAACCAAACAAGCTCCATCAACTCTTCCTCTTGAACAATAAGCATGGATTATTGTGTTATAAGTAACAACATTCGGATTAACCCCTAAATTCTCCATGAACCCTACAAAATCTTTAGCCTTTTTAAGCTTCGCTTCCTTGCACAACACATTTATCATTATATTAAACGTGTAAATACTCGACTTAATCCTCATTTTAAACATCTCAGCGTAGAAAACCCAAGCACTTTCGGTTTTATTCAACTTCAAAAACGTACTTAAAATAACATTACAAGTCTCGATCTTTGGAATTAAACCCTTCTCTTTCATCATATAAAAACACTCTAATCCTTCATCCACCCTCTTCATTTCACAACAAGCTTTTATTAACAAATCAAAAAGAATAGTTGTTGAAATGCCTAACCGTTCACGCGCAAGTGCCAGGTCATTGAAGATGGCGGAAACACCGGCAATGTCACTAGAAATAGTTTGCTTTAAGAGTCGTAGAGTGGGATTGGGAGATGGGAGCCGTGAGACAACGGCAATGGCAAGGCAACGGATTTTGAGATCGAGTCGGTGGAATTCAACATGGGAAGAAAATTGGAGAGCTAATTGAGGGGTTTTGTGGAGATTAAAGAGGACGGTTGATATAATAGATGGGTCGAGGTTAGGTGAGTGGTGTTTGATGAAATGCCACTGAGAAGAGCGGGCTGCCTCGACAAGTAGCTCAGGGGTTATTTCTGACGATGGAGATTGTGATTGGTCGTTGGTGATTGGTTGAGAGGTTGAAGAGAAAAGAGCAGACGGCAGAGACTGTTGTTTGAGGATTTGAGGCGCCAGAAGTTTGTGAGCTTTCATGTTATGGAAAGTGCAAACCCGCTGTACCGTCTTGTTCCGGTGAATTCCGCTCGTTTCGCCGGTAATTTGAGGTACCGGCTGGAACCAAAACTGAAACTTTTAATCCCCTTATATTTGAAAGAAAATACACAGAGAGAGAGAAAGAGAAGAACTAACGCAAATACGGAGAAAAGAGAGATTTTCCAGTGTCTGTTGAAGGAAACATGCACTTGTAAAACCACTCTAATCTGAAGCAAAGGACAGAACAAGAGGAGAAGCGGCGTTGCCAACTTGGGAAAAGATGAAGAAACGAACAGGCGCACTGAATCAAAATTTGGGCTTTAAAAAAATTGGGTAAACCACACCAAAGTCACTTTTTAATTAAGTTTAATAATAAATAGATCACTTTTTTCTAAAAAAGTACAAACAAGTCACTCTATATTAAATTAAGACAATTGGACTACTCTTTTTGGTTCGCTTTAACTTGTTTCATGAAGATTATCTCAAGTGCTCGTGGTGTTATATGAAACTAAGAACTGTTTAACACCATGCATCAACCCCATAATTCATGGATCCACATTCAGACAACTGATTCATGATCTTTGCATCACTGGCTTTGCCAACATTCACAATTAATATTACCACCAATTTTTTCTAGATAGAATAACTAAGCTCTTTTAAATCCATTCATAAAAGCAATCCAGTTACTTCAATAGGGTTTATCTTCAAAAAGAAACAAATCAAACGGAAAAAAGAAATACTCAGAGTTGATATCTGTATCTAATGTGTTGGCATCTCGAAACGGCAGATAGGGCAATAATGGCTGGTACTCAGCCACTCTTGGATGCAATCACCATGAAAAATATGCTTACAAGGCATCGAAGAAGCGTCGGATCCAACCTTGAGTTGCTCCAAACATATAACGCAATCTTTTTCTTCGGCTTCATCTTCAACCCTAACCTTGATTAGCATCTCGTCAACTGACGATTCTGCAGCTGGAACCATGTACTCATTGTCATCCGAATACGGCAAATCAACCCTGTGTTCAACTAGGCGTGCTTGTACCTGTGATATCAGAGGCAAGACTCGGGAATTACATCCTAGGTTAAACGCCCTTTGCGACAATCTTAATCCACCTTCACTAATATCACGGATCAGCCGACGATAAGCATCGGTGTCTGTGTCTAATCGGAGATGGTAAAAGAAGGGATGGAGAGTTTGGCCGAGTTGACTCTCGTTTCTCAGAATGTTGAAATCAAAAGTAAAAGTTACTGGATCCATCCAAAGGTTGGTACGGTAGTAAATGTTTGTGGGACAATCATGGTACGAGTACGACAGACGGAACTCCATGGTTAGTTCGACCAACTCGTACGCCATTGAAGCAAGTTGAGATTCTGGGATGATCCCAGATTGTAAAAACACACGGCGGTGAAAGATACTAAACTCGGAAGCCAAACTTGGGAGGCAATTAACTAAGTTTGATTCAAGTTTTGGATTTTCTAACTCTCCTAGTCCTATGGCTATTTATAAGAATAAACAATGGCGGTTTAAGGATAGGAAATTTGCTTTGTTAGGAGGACTAATTTCGGTAGAATTTATTAGGTTAGGTTCCGATGGGATTTATTACTACTAGTAAATCCCATAATTTGCAAGAAAGCTAAAGAAAAAGGATGACTCAAAGTAAATCCCAAAATTATAAATTACTCGACCTACAATTATAAATTAATTAAAAATCTTAAATAAATTATTTAAAATAAAATATAAATTACATTATTTTTTATATTCTTATTTTTAATAATATTTAAATCAAATAGTAACCCTTAAATAAAAAAATCCTAAAAATATTTCCCTTGAAGCAGCCGTTGCCGTTAGCATCTTCCGTTAGTGAGATAGTCGCCGTCGTTCCTCCCTCCCTACGTCGTCGTTGTTCGAGCCCAGCTGCCGTTAGTGCAACCAATCCGATAAGGCAAGCTTTTTTTGTTTTTGTTTTGGACTTGGGCGGCCGTCCAAGCCATCACCGGCGAGTGCCACCTCACCAGCGACCACGTAGGGAGAGAGGAATGACATTGACTATCTCGTTGCGGAAGATGCTAACGGCGGCGGCAGCAGCAGCGACTTCAAAGCAAGAAAAAAGTATTTAGGGTTTTTTAATTTTGAGGTTAGTATTTGATCTAATTATTATTAAAAATAAGATTATAAAAATAATATAATTAATATTTTATTTTAAATATTTTATATTTAGATTTTAAATTAATTTATAATTATACGCTGAGTACTTTAGAATTTTAAGGTTTTATAAATTCAAGCTTATATAATTTTCCAAAGAAATAAAAGTGTAAAAGAAGAAATCAATTAAATTTTTTTAAGTCTAATTAAATCTTTACCGTTAACAAAAGCATCAATTAAGTCATTCTCCCAAGCCAGGCTTGGCTTCCAAGCATCTCCCATAATATTTAGGCAAAGACAAACTAAACAGAAACCCAATGGATCGAACAGCATGATCCCACTGATCACCATGGCTCACATTACTCATCATGTTGCTCCCTTGCATCTTGGGCGGCAACGTCGTCCCCGAGAATCAGCCGCCAAAATGTAAATCATCCTAGGCCTTACAGTAATGATCGCAGAGCATGAAAGTAGATGAAACATGGTCAATAGATGTGATAACCCTAGTGAGGTCTCCATTTGACATATGATCTCCGAGGCCTTGCAGTAGAAATACCACTCTTCCTCGCCGGTGGTGGCCAGTTCTTCATAAAAAAAATGAAGCAGTGTTAGTTTCCAGTTCGACACTGCACTATGTGTATATATGTATGTTGTTAACTTGGAGGACCCCATGGATCATATTTTTTCGTGTAGAGTTACTTAATGAGCTTCATTGAGAGAGGTTGCGATAAAGTCAATTATAAAAGGTTAAACTGTGTTTTTCATCGCTCAATTTCCCCATATTTTTGTTTTAATCGCTTAATTTTAAAATTTATAATTTGATAGTTGAATTTTTGAATTGATTTTGTTTTGATTACTCGAACGTTAAATAAAAAATAACAAGGTGGCATGCACTGCTTTTTGCTGGTGGCATAATTCATGAAGATGCGACTTTGTCTCTTTCCCAGTATAAACAAAAGGATAAATCATGGTTTCTAATTATAAGACATCTTCCTCACATGTGCTTTAAATGGATGTGAGCAGATTGTTTAATCTTCAGCATAGGGTAGCTCAGACGAATGAATCATTTGGACAAAGCCCTACGTTCACCGTAGAGTGCCGACAAAAACTCGAGTTTTCCTCGATGAAGTTACTGCAGATGCAGGGGGCAACAGCCTTAGCAGATTAGCAAGCATTTTTAACCATGTCCATGAGTTTGTCTTCGTCGAAGTTACACAATTCTATGTAAATAGTTCCACCGGAGAATCCATGCTCGTACTATTCTTTTGCTTGTTGCAAGTTAACTGATCAAATTTACACATGCATGTGATCATAACATCCATGACGCTTGGTCGGACATTTTACACCATAACAAGAAATCTATTTTCGAAAAAGTAAACCTGCATAAAGATTCATTGTCCAAGCCATGAGCAGGTGCAAAATCTCAAATCTTCATCAAGTTGCTTGTAACAATTCCTTTATGTCATAACCTTGCAACTGCACAACACAAGAAACAGGAGATAAATCAGTCTCTACTTTCGCTTTTATGTTAGGGATGCAAACTTATAAAATTCCAAAGGGGGGCGAAAATAGTTTTTTATTAGAAAATCTATAGAAAAAATATAAAATATATGATAATTTTAAATTTTCAGGGGAGACTGCCCCCACCGCCCCCTGGGTCACCGAGCAAACTTCTATATATCATTTGTACTGAATATTTTACCTGAAGAAAGGTAAGAAGTAAAATCACACCCGAATTCCAGAAAGCATGGATTGTGATAGGAGTCACCAGATTGCGAGTTTGAGCATATGAAAATCCCAAATCAGCCCCTACAAAATACCAAGAAGTCTGTTGGTTTGACGTCCAGTGAAAAAGTTCTTAGTTTATATGCATTTATCTAGATATATTTTATCCATAGTGAAGAGCGAACTCGAGTAATGATTTTTATCAACAAATCTTTTTCATGCGTTACCTAGTATAAATAATTGGAGAAACTCTCCGGGAGTGAGATGTGCAAGTGCAAATGCAGCTGCACTGATAATTACAGAAACTGGTGTAGGAACTCTGAATCAATAACAGGGGAAAACATCAAATTGTGCATTTCTGATAAATAAAACTTTCAAGCTACATTTTGACGCCAGACAGAATAGTGATTATCCTGTAGGCTAGCTCCGACAGACGATTCACAAGAGAAAATTCGCCCAAAAACCAGAGAAAAAAAGTCTCTAGGGTTTAATAAAATATTATAAAATAAATAACCATCCAAAAAGCAGTCCACAAGCCGGACTGTTATAGCAAAAAAATCGTCTTTATTCGAATTTTGCCAAAAATAGCAAAATCCCGAAAATTACTCTAAATTGAAATTCGAAATAAAATAAGCAATCTCCAAAAAATCCGGTACTTCACTGTAATTCTGTTGATCGCTCGGCTGTCAACACACATACGCCAAGAACCATCTTTCTTTGGCACTAACAGAGCAGGGACTGCATAAGGGCTCATACTCTCTCGGATATAGCCCCTCTCCAACAACTCTTCCACCTGTCGCTGCAACTCTTCGGCCTCCTTGGGACTGAGGCGATATGCTGGTCGATTTGGCAAACTTGACCCAGGAACAAGGTCAATTTGATGCTGAATATCCCTCATAGGTGGTAGTCCAGGAGGAAGATCCTCTGGCATCAAGTTAGAGAATTCTGCTAGCAGCCGCTGCACCTCTACTGGTAAATCTGTATCCACGTCTACTGCATTGTTCTCGCAAGGTAGCAAGGCATAGACCACGCCGCCATGCTCAATCTCATCTAAAAAACCTGGACATAGAAAACAGATTAGTATTATGGGTTACTGGGGTAGGAGTAAGTCCTTCCCGCCGGGGTGCCAACACAATCTTTTTTCCCTTGATGCTAAGGGAATATGTATTCTTCCGTCCATCATGAATGACACTGCGATCATACTGCCAAGGTCGACCCAACAATATATGACACGCATCCATAGACACAACATCACACCAGGCATTATCAAATATTTTCTACCAATTGAAAAAGACACGAGGCATCGCCTATCAACTGTTACCTCACTGTCTTTATTTAGCCATGACAACTTGTATGGCTTAGGATGACGGTCTGTCTTCAACTGCAATTTCTGGACAACCTCCTCGGACACTACATTCTCACAACTGCCGCTGTCAATGATCATTTTGCAGACTTTATCTGCAACTGTGCAAGTCGTGTGGAAAATATTGGTTCTCAACCAATCGTCCCCTAAATCGCCCTTGGGGGTAAGTAGACTCTTGCGAACGACCAGAGTCTCATGACCATCTCCATACAGCACATCATCAGTCTCATCATCGTCATACACGGGTTCGCCAATCTCCTCAGTCTCGTCTTCCACGTTTTTCTCAATCAACAAATTTTTGCCCTTTTGACTAGCAGGCTTCCTGCAATCAGTCGCCCTATGCTCTTGTTCACCACAACGAAAACATCTAATAGTAGGGTTAGAATTACCCTGCGGTGACTGCTGAGCAGGACGGGACTCTTGAGGGCGAACTGGTCGACTGTTGTGATCGCTCCTGATCACTGGTCTCCTGTTTTGCTGTTTTTCAACAGCAAGTGCACGCTGGTATGCTTCCGAAACACTCCACAATGAATGAAGGCTGAGGACATCTTGCAAGGGCTGGCGTAAACCCCCCAAATATCGCGCCACCATCTGCTCCTCCGTCTCAGATAAATCGTTCCGGGCGACCAATTGGTAAAACTCCTCCGTGTAATCATCGACTGATCGCGCGCCCTGCCTCAACGCATGAAGTCGCTGAAATAAGGTTTGCGTGTAGCCGAAGGGAAGGAAGTGGCCCTTCATCTTCTTTTTCATCTTCTCCCAATCAGTGATCTTGGCTCTGCCATGTCTTTCTCGTGAACGTCGTAACTGTTCCCACCACGCAGATGCTCTGCCCTTGAGTTTGATGGCGATCAGTTTCACTTTCACACGATCGGGGACTTCCTTATATTCAAAAATACGCTCCACTTCATTAATCCAATCCACGAATCCCTCGGCCTGTAACGTACCAGAAACTCAGGGAGATCGACCCGAAAACCGAGGTCTCCATGACGCTCATCCCGACCACGGTGCTCCCGAAATCCTGCGCCCCGGAATCCTGCGCGATTGTGATATGGGTTTTCGAAAGTGGAATTGGTATCGTGATCAGAGGCCTCACGATCCTCGAAATCCTACGCCGCCAGGCGCTGGGTTAATTCTGCGACTTGCCTCTGCAAATCCGCAATCATCACATCCTGAACGCTGCGATCACGGCGTTGGGCTTCCTCATTCGGAACCTGCTCACGACGACCACGACCACGACCTCCAGCCATTGAAACTGGTGAAATTTCCCAAGAAGATGTTGAAGCTCTGACACCAACTGACGCCAAACAGAATAGTGATTATCCTGTAGGCTAGCTCCGACAGACGATTCACAAGAGAAAATTTGCCCAAAACCAGAGAAAAAAGTCTCTAGGGTTTAATAAAATATTATAAAATCAATAACCATCCAAAAGCAGTCCACAAGCCGGACTGTTATAGCAAAAAAATCGTCTTTATTCGAATTTTGCCAAAAATAGCAAAATCCCGAAAATTACTCTAAATTGAAATTCGAAATAAAATAAGCAATCTCCAAAAAATCCGGCCTAAATCGGATTTAAATTGACTTCCTAATTAACAATCGAAATATTACCATAAATAGTAAAAAATAACTAAATCTAGTGATTCGGAGGGGAAAACGGCAGAATTTGAGGTTGAAAAAAGGCCACATGGAGCCTAGCTCAATGTGGAGAGCGTGCGCGTCGAAAAGAGCTTTCCGGATTGGGGTCTTATGCGCGATTCTGACACATGTAGCCAAAGTTATGGCCAAAAGACTGAAACATACTCAAAACGACCCCAATGAGGAACATGTGACAATCAATTCCCGCCTTTGCGCTGATCTGCCAACTCATGGTATCTCAGCGCCATCAACGTGCAATCTGACAGCTCAACATCATCTGTCTCGGATCCCCCTGCATCAGTCGCCCCGGGTTGGAAAGAACTCGTCCTCGAGTTCAGAGTAGTGTCATTAGGATCCACAAAACAATGACTCAGGTGCTTCACATTAAAGACATCAGAAGTCTTCAAGTGACTGGGAAGTCGCAACCTGTAAGCATTATCATTGATCTTCTGCACGACCTCACAAGGTCCAATCTTCCGATCCTTAAGCTTATTATACTCACCAACAGGAAAACGATCACGAGTTAATACAGCCCAAACAAAATCACCAACATCAAAAGTACCTGACGACGATGATTGTCGACCCGAGTCTTGTACTTGGTATGCTCTCATGAATGGTCTGTTTCACCTGCTCATGGATACCCCGAAGATACTTTGCCATCTCATCTGCTTTAGGACTGAAACGTCCTATACGTGGAATAGGGGCTAAGTCCAACACCCCGGATGGTTCTGACCATAGACAATCTCAAATGGGCTTAAACCTGTGGTTCTGTTTTTTGATCTGTTGTAGGCAAATTCTGCCTGAGGCAATGCCAAATCCCACTGCTTCGGCTTCGTTCCTGCCAAACACCTTAAAAGGTTTCCCAAACTTCGGTTCACCACCTCAGTCTGGCCATCCGTCTGGGGGTGGTAGGCGCTACTGAAATTCAACTGTGTTCCCAGTTTCCCCCACAGGCTCTTCCAGAAATGACTGATGAACTTAGTATCACGATCTGAAGTGATAGATCGAGGAACACCATGTAAACGCACAATCTCCTTGAAATAGAGATGGGCAATCAGGTCAGCATCCATAGTCTTTCTGCAAGCTACAAAATGAGCCATCTTGGAAACCTGTCAACCACAACAAAGATAGAATCAGAGGCCCTTTGGGTGCGGGGTAAGCCTAGTACAAAATCCATGCTGACATCGAACCAAAGAGCTTCAGGAACAGGTAAGGGAGTGTACAATCCCGCATTGGTGAGAACTCCCTTAGACCGCTGGCACACATAACAACGGTCCACATAATGGGTCACATCACTAGTCAACTTGGGCCAATAAAATTCAGAAGAGATAAGGGCCAATGTCTTATCTCGGCCAAAGTGTCCCTCATTATGGAGTTCACTTATAATTTGCTGCCTCAATGAACAATCTGGAATGCACAATTGTAATCCACGAAACAGATACCCATTATGCAAAACAAAATATGACGGTGACCCTCAGTTACCTCCTGAAATATCCTTCCAAAGGAAGGATCAGCTGCATACATATCTGTGAACGTCTCAAATCCTGCAATTTTAGTACTCATGGTGGTGAGAAGTAAGGTACGACGGCTCAGGGCATCTGCGACGCGGTTCAAACTCCCTGCTTGGTGCCTCAGCGTAAAAGTGAATTCTTGCAAGTATGCTACCCACTTGGCATGACGTCTACTCAGCTTGTGTTGGCCATTGATGTACTTCAAGGCCTCATGATCGGTAAACAGAATAAACTCCTTCTGTACTAGGTAGTGACGCCAATGCTTCAGGGACTGAACTATGGCATAGAACTCCAGATCATAAGTGGAATAATTTTTCTTTGATCCCGATAGCTTCTCACTGAAAAAAGCAACCGGACGACCTGCCTGACTCAGAACACCACCAATGCCAACGCCAGATGCATCACAATTTACCTCGAACACTTTGTCAAAATCTGGAAGTGCCAAAACTGGAGCCTCGGTCATCTTCTGCTTGACCAGTTGAAAACTGGCCTCTGCCTCCTCAGACCACTGGAAATCACGCCCCTTGAGGCACTCTGTGATAGGGGCGATCAGAGTACTGAAATTTCTAATGAATCGACGGTAAAAAGACGCCAAGCCATGGAAACTTCGGATGTCATGTAAGGTTCTTGGTCTGGGCCACTCCAAGACTGCATCTATCTTTGACTGATCTACATGAACACCATCAGTAGACACAACAAAACCAAGAAAAGTCACAGAAGTAGTGAAGAAAGAACACTTCTTTTGATTGGCAAACAAGCACTCCGTTTTCAGCATCTCAAAAACAGCACGGAGGTGATCGAAGTGTGAAG